CTTATTAAGTTTTTCTTGGAAATTCGTACTCGGAAATTTACAAAAGTTAATTATTTGCTAGTAATTTTGGAACGGTTTTAGATCTTTCTAAATACAAGCGAACTTATTAATGTGCATTTTTAATGCTTAAATGGCTACTTGAATTAACTTTAGCTTTCCTACTGTGAACTTTTTAGACTATCTTTCACATAAACAAGCTGGCTTTCTGTTGTCTTAATTGGGTATAATCACCATCAACATTATAAATGAGGAACAGAGGTTTAGTTTCCTAAGTGTATTCAGGTGCTAAGTTTTTATGAGTTTAGTAGGAATTATATGACTGCCTAAAGTACTTAATACCCTCTGTTGTCCTTATGTCTATTAGACTTTGAATGTACACTAAACATACTCAGATCTTGATTTAGAACTTCAATGTTCATTAAAGAATGTTTATACTAATAAACCTATTTTTAAGCTTCTAGTACAGCATTGAAAAAGTTCCCTTGGCAATATGTAGGGTACCTGCAAACTTCTTGAGCCTGTAGGATTTGCATTATTCATTTATGGAGTCTGATTTCAGCCATTTGTTGCCTGTAGCAAGTATCAGGTTCTTAATGTGCTAGAAATGTTATTTGTATGTATGTATGTATGAACGTGCCTGTGTGTTGTCTCTCTGTGCATCAATATGTATATGATACAGCATGAACTTGTCACCTTGTAAACTGCTCAATTACTTTATTTCATTGTGCAGCATTTTTGAATTCAGTCAGTATTGTTAGATTTGTTGAATGCTGTTCAGTTTCACCTTGTACACTGGTAAGGTTGTGGTCCTAGATGCTATTCAAAGTTCTTCTCTGAAAACCAGGGTTTTAAGGTACACTGTTCTGCTCTATTGTTTCTGTATTTGTGGGCAGTAAAACTTGTGCTGGAAACTCTTTTGGGTGGAAGGGTTTGACAACTGCTTGAGTGAGCAACTGAAAACCTGGGAATTACTTGAGGTTGTCTTCTTTGTTGGCATATTTCTTGAATTAAAAGCTAACGCAGAATCTTAAAATAGCAAACATGAGAACTGGCTATATAGGTGAAGGAGGATTATTTATGCATCTCCTACTGCTAACCAAGAATCCAGACCCTTGACTCTAAGAGAAAATACATTTTCAACTACAAGTATTAATGCAGTGCTAATTCTAGAAGTTATTGCTTAGGTTTTTTAGATCTATCAATTAACTTATTGTCTGATTGCCCTGTTATTGATAACAAATAGTGATAAAACTGGCACAAATTACACAAAAAAGCTAAGAAAAATTTTTAGACATTCTATGTGATTTACATGTATGGAGGTTGTTAGATCCAGAGCTCCTGATAGTAAGTTACAAATTACTACCTTCACCAGCTAAACAGACAAAAAATTAAATTTGATCCAGTGGGGCATGACACCACAAGTAACAAAAATAGTGTTCAGTATTAGGCAAAATGGTGCAGAACACCTTTTATTTTAGGATGTTACTGATTGGGGATTGCACTTTCAAATTTTGCAGAAATAAATTGCCATGATGCCTAAACAGACTTACGTAGTATGACTGCAAGCTGGGGAGACAAAATTGGTGCAGTTGTACAGGAGCTGTAATACCTGTTGATCACTTGTTCTGCATTTTTAGTCATGGTTTTGTTGTCTGATTCATTCATGCTCTGCTTTCTGAATTTTATTTGCATTGTAGTGGGCTATGCATTATGGTGAATTAGAAATATACTGTGAATTCTCTTAACATCCAAAATATGAAAAGATTAAATTGCATGTGCTTTTGGGAGATCCAGCAGGATTTTTCTGAAGTTGAACAGTTTTTGAAAGCGTGTGTTAAGTGGAAGGGGTATTAGCTAGATAGATCCTTCGGTCTCTTGTGTTATTTTTGGTGATTTATGTGTGCAGAATAGAAATATTTTTATTAAACATGATTAGGCTTTATATATAAGGGTGGCAACCTGTATTTTTTTTTCTGGTTTCCTGTCAGAGTTTAAACAAACTACTCTTGTCTCCTGAGATCATTCTTTTGACTGTTGGAGTCACATGGAAGTGTTGACTGCTGTTCCGTGTCTGGAACAGCTTGTGACTGTTTACTGGAAAAAAGCAGCAGCTACATTGTAAAAATGTGCAGTGTAATATCTCTGAATAGCTCTGTTGTTGACACTAGTATAGAAAAATCACCTACTCAACTACAAGAAGGGTTCATTGTGCAAGACCAACAGGAACAGCTTACGTTGTTTATCTCCTTTCCTAAACTTGAGTTAAATTTGGAAGGTTTGCAGCTTTTTATATTACTCGTTATAGATGTCCAAATGAGGGATAAAAGGTGGGTCACTATAGAATTCCAAACCTGCACTTAAAAAAAATGTTCCGTTTCTGGAGGCTTTTGAGAACTGCATCTATTAAATTTTCTCATGCCTGTTCTAAGTGTTTAAACCCTTCAGCTGAAATCTGTATGCATGCACTTTGTCTCACCATACTACAATACTGAGGTTCAAAGCTGTCAGTTCTATGTTGGGCCTGTAAACTTGAGTGCAAAGAAGAGACTAGACCAAAAAATCCAGAAAGTGTGTAGGATGAAATGAGAACAAATGAAGTTGCAGTTAAATCGGGTTAGTGTTAACATGTTGCAGTGTAGCTACACAATTATGAGGAATGGAGGAGGGAAGTAAAAAAGCCTGGCTTTGGTAAAGAGAGTGATGTAGCTGGCATGTTTTGAACTGTAGTAGATTCAAATTGAGTAAGTTTGCATAGATCTCTTATTTCTCTAATGTTTTGTAGCATCAAAGACATGAAGGAATGAAATAGTTTGATAATAGTAATTTGTGCTTTTAGCAAGAGTTTCTCCTGTGTATCAACTAAAAAATACTGTATTGATAACAGATAAGAGAATGTTATATGGAAAAAAACCACCTATGGAAGTTGTGCTTCATTTCATGGTGCATTTGGCTCTGTACCTTTTTATTAGAAATGCAGTGGTATACTGGGGCTACTGAGAGAGGTAAGAATAAAAACTATTTAGAACAACTGACTTTGTGGAGAGGGGAAACTTCACAGGCGGAATATGACTGTTGAAGATTAACACCAACCATGAGAAGGAATTGCTTTAATATACAGTTTGGGTTTTTGCAGTTATTTTAAGTAAATAGCTTATTAGAAAAAAAATGCAGGACATTAAGAAGTTTCAGGCTGGACTCTACTAAAAGTATTGAAACATTTTCACTAGTGCTTAACAGAAGTAGGTCTTGTAATTCTCATGTACTCCATTACAAGACAGTTATTTCAATTGCTGTGGACTTAACATCTTTAACTGTTTGTGCTGCAACTTTTTTTTTTTTTTTTTTTTTTTTTTTTTTTTGAATTCAGAACATCATTTAACCACGGTTTAGTAGTGTTTGGGAAAAGACTTTAAAGCTCCAGCACATCTGTCTATAGAGTATCTTCACAGCTCTTGCCACTTCTGACATAGATTATGTGTGTATGTGATAACCACAGGTCAGTGAAACTTCCCCTTACATCTTCAAACGGCCCCAGAATACCCAGCATAATTCTGCCAGTTCAAGGCTACAGAGTTAGTCCAAGAAATTTTTGTAGCTGTTTATCACAACTGAACTAAGCACAGGGACTCAGTTTGCTGCTGCTCTTAGTGACCTCCAGGCTGATGCCTAATTACATTGGGGGCAAGAGAGCTAGTAGGGCAGCTTGGCTAAAGAATTTAGGATGAGGACTATGTGCAGAGACTGGACTAGCAAAAGGTACGTTTCTGCTCAAGCATTTGGAATGCTAAAGACAGTTCTTTGAAGTTATGGTTACTTGGGTGCAGTGATAACTACCCGAGGGAAATACCTTTTCTAGATCAGGAGACAGATGGGAAATTTACTCAAAGCTATATCCATACTTACTGGACATAAAGATAACTGATTACTGCTTATAGTCACCCAAAGAACGGACTCTTTCTTGCAAAGCACAGGACACTGAGATAACATTATAGGCAGCTGGGACACTAAATATGCCCAACCTGTTAACAAGCAAACTAGACTTTAGCAATCTTTAGTCCTTAGTCTTTTTGAAACAAAAACATACAGATAGTATAAAAATCACTCTTTTCTTGAACACACTTCCACACTATTTAAATAGACAGTGGTAGCAGGAGGTGGTTGATCTGATGACAGAAGCAAAAGTCTTATACAGGAGTAAAATAAATGACCAAGTTAATTTCCTGAAGTAAGAATGAAATTACTATTTAGCTTTCGGAAACCTCTGTTGTGGAACTAAAAAGTAACATTATGTATTGATTTATTTACTTTTTCTTTTTAAATGGTCCTCAGTCTCATTTACTTCTATGCTTTTTTTTTTTTTTTTTTTAATTTCACAGTTTATCCCAGATGAATTAGCTTTTTTTTAAAAATTCAATTGGGTTTTCTGTTTTGCAAAAGAAAATGATTGATCTCTTTCATTAGATGCCCACAGTAGAAACTTGAAAATAGTGAAGAGTGTTTAGTGTGTGTTTTCTGGTTTTTCTTTTATGAAATCACCTGAAAATCTGTTTATAAATGCAAAACTAGATGTAGACTGACTATTCTGAATTCATGAATTTCATAAAGCTCTCTAAAGTACTTAACAATAGCCAGCTAATTTCAATTTTTTAAATAAATACTAGCTGAAGTACATGAATGTTTGCCTTTGTTTAAAGGACAGTGTTGTCCACACCAATGAATTTTTAATAGTGGAGAATTGCAGATTTTTGATCTCTGGGCATAAGGAAAGTGGTATGTTGTGCAGTAGTTAAAAGCAAAAATCCCCAAACCACAATATTGTCTGGTTTGGAAAAGTGTTTTTCTCCCTGGACTGGTGTTAGTTAAACTCCAGATTTATCCAGAGGAGTTGTAAAACTTGAAACAGGTAAAGTTAGGGACTTCTTGGTACTACAGATTTAGAATTGTTTTACCTACAAGATTTATATAGGTTTATCTTTTTCACTTTGCTGTTTCTGTTTTAGGTGAAATTGTGGTAAATGAAGTAAATTTTGTAAGAAAATGCATCGCAACAGATACAAGTCAATATGACCTGTGGGGCAAATTGGTTTGCACTAACTTCAAGATTTCCTTTATTACGGATGACCCAATGCCACTACAGGTCTGTATTACTCACATTACTACATCATGACAACAAATGTGATAGGTAGAATGGATTTAATTAGAATACAGTAAATTTGTCTCATATATGATATAAATATGATGCCTTCTAAAACAAAGCAGGCTAAGTGATGAGGTTCCACTGTCCTATTCTTACTGTTGCTATTCCATCCCTTCACTGAGAATATCAGAACAGAGGAAGTTTGGTATGGAAGTACAGCCAGCTCTATTTACCTCTGATGGAGGCTTCATTGGGAAGTGATTTTACAAAAGCCAAAGCAGCAATTATATAAAGACATGTTCCTCCTTGAAGAAGGTAGTTGGAAATGTTCCTTTTGACTAGACAAGTGTCAGATCAGCAAAGCCTTTTGTTTGTCCAGGTTTAATTGGCATTACTGACAGAGGACAAAGTAGTTGAAGCAACAAGAAAAGGGGGGCAAGAAAGCAAGCCTTTGTCAAACCACAACATGTGACGTTCAAAACCTCAGGTTTTGAAATGCACAGCATATGCTACTGTTTAGAAATTCAAGTTGATCTGTGTTACTTCCAGTAGAGTTTTCACTTTCATTTTGAGCTTTTAAAAGAAACACTCCATTAACTAGGTGTCCATAAAGCTCTGAAAATAGATAGCTGTTTGTTCAGTAATGGTTAGCAAGCTTGACCAATGCTACTTCAAAAAATTAATTTTTGACATGAGGTAGTTGTTAAAACTTATTTTGGAAAGCTGAATTAATAGTCTTTCTTTCTATGGTTAAAGTAGTAGTTGGCGATTTTTTTTTTTTTTTTTTAATATCATGTATATATATTTTACACTTCAGATTGCATTGAATTTCTACCAGTAATTTTTGAGGCTAGTAAATTCAGTGCTAGTAGTGGTGTTATTTAGCATATTTCCACTGAGGTTTCTAAATGGTTTGGTGTGCATTCACCAACATCAGAGCTGTTTCCACAACCTCTAATTGCCTGAGAATAGGCAAGGGTGGTACACATCAGAAAAGTCTAGGCATGCCTGATTTTTATCATCGTTTCTTCAGAGTTGTTCTGTGTATCTGGTTGTGAACTGCAGAACTGCAATTAATGGCTATGAGTTCATATGTTTCAGAAATTCCATTATAAAAACCTCCTCCTTGGTGAACATGATGTCCCACTAACATGCATTGAGCAGATTGTCACAGGTATGTCAAAAATAGTTAAGTATGATGTTGGGCTTTAAATTTAGTTCAAAACTGTTACCTGCTTGTTACGTTGTGCAGAACTGTTGACACTTAAGGTTTTATGTCATTAATCTTCCCTGATTTGAAGAATTTGGTTTATTTAAAATTAGGGTAAAAGCCTTAAAAGTTGACTAAAACATGAGGTGTTGTGCAGGAGATGTATTTAGTTGGGTCTTTATATTGGTTTTAAATTTAAGTACAATGCTGAATCAACAGGTGTTCTAGGATAGACCCCTGTTACAGCAGTATAAAATTTTGTTAGCAACTTTTTTATATTTGAGCATCTGAATCTCTTCCAAAAAGCTCATCACTTACACAATTTACACATAGATGGCATATCTGACATAAATGCTCGTGTTTTCAGTCTTGTCTGATTCTTAGCAAGTTAGGAGCTAGTGTTCCTCAAAAATCTACAAATAAAAATAGGCATCTTAATCTGAAGAAATAACTTAAAGGGGTTCTTCAAAGTAAGTATTTTTTGTTTCGGTGGATACTTTGTGCTAACCTGTTTAAGAAGAATGTTTTTCATCTTGTAATTGAAGAATTGCATATAAGTGATAATTTTTCAAATCTTGATTATGATGTGGACTGTTAAATACTTGATTTTCTGACTGTAGGTAACTTAAATCATTACTTAAAAGTTTTCAGTGCCCGAAATTATCCAGTAATCCATTTCTACTCTGGAAGCTGGTTATAATTACTGTAAAAAGATTAATGTGTATCTGAGGGAGAATGTTATGAAGAAATTCTATATTTTAAAGGAAGAGGTGCTGTTGACCTGTCATATGGCCTTGCACTGGCCCACATTTGTTGCCCCTTTTCAAAAATACCAGGTAGAGGTGACAAAATGGTAGCAGTATTGCAAATCTGTTAACACCAGTTTTGTATGGAGAGATGTTGATAAATGGGATGTTGCAGTATTTTCTTTTACCGTCTCATACAAATGCTCATAGTAAATTCTAATAAACAGGGGGGAAAAACCAGCCAACCTTGGAATAATTTCTAGTAATTATGTCTTCTGTCACATAAAGAGTGGTGTTCCTAAATGGCAGAGGGCTATAGATAGCTTTTATTTTAAAACTTGAGGGCTAGTGGATTCTAGATTACTCTTTTGTGCATGTTTACCCAAACTGTCAAATAGCATGAAAGTTTGCAGTTTCATTAGAAGAATGGTAGAAGTTCTCTAAGAACCCTTTCTATTTAGCTTTTCCACCAAGGTTTGAAGCTCTTTAGCTCCTGCCACACACTTGAGATTATTCTTTGTTCTTCTGTTATGCAGGTTTACCCTAAATTTAGTGAACCATAAGCTTTTACTAATGGGAATTAAGGGGATGTTTTTCACCCATACTGCAGAAGAGGTCGATGATGGTTGTTATATTGAAGGTGAATAGGTGGAGGTGTCCTTGAGTTCCCTGGAAGTACTCAAGTTTAACCCAGAAGATATCTGCAACCAGGCAGCTATGTCAATATAATCACTCTACAGCTACACGCCCCAATTTTCCCAGTTACCACAAATAAAATCTCTGGGGCTTCCGTGATGCTTACGTTTTACAACTTAATTTTATCTGTTTGAAAAGGAGATACATAGGCCAAGACATAGCCTGTCTATGCAGGTTCTAGACCAGCTGGCAATTTACTGTACTTATATTCTTGAGTTTTATCTAAGAAATAAGGAGTTTAGTCTTAACTCCAGCACTTTCTTATATATCCAAGTAAAAAAAACCTTCTAAAAACTCAGTGCATGTGCTATTTACTGTGCATCAGAAGGGCATTATGCCATGCACAATTAACTGGAAGCAAAAATTGCTCTTGGGAATACTGCGTGTTAATTTCTTGTTTGTGAAGTTGTTGATGGACAAAAATAACCTGGGCATACAGGAAACAGTAATTCAGCCACTTTTTGAAAGAAGATTGATAACAGGAGGACCTTAGATTTTCTACCTCAAATGAAAAGTTGAAATATACTATTAAATGAAAAACTGCTGGTAGCATATTACTCTGTCTGTTTGAGCCAGTCTTGTGTTGTATCCTTACAAAACAGAGTCCAATAACTTTGTCCTTTCTTTACAGTGAATGACACCAAGAGGAAGCAGAAGGTCCTTGGTCCCAACCAAAAACTTAAATTTAATCCAACTGAATTAATAATTTATTGCAAAGACTTCCGTATTGTCAGATTTCGTTTTGATGAAGCAGGTCCCGAAAGTGCAAAAAAGGTATTCTATCTTCTTACGAAATCTTGCCTTGTAGTCACTACATGTAGCAACAGTTGTGCCAATAAGAACATTTTGTTTTATGTTTTGATAAAGAAGTAGAGGGGGAAGAATTGCAAATTAATCACATTCTGTTACAGGAGAATATCTACATTTTTACAGTCAAAATTATTAAGTAAATATTTAACATGATGTATTAACTGTTTCTTTTAATGCAAGATAAATCTGTGTTTCTTACCATATCTGTTGTACTTGTAAAAATTACTTATTAAACAAATATTTTAAAGACTGGAATCTGAATACTGCATTGCAGCTGTACAACATATATTTATATTTTTATGGAAATTGTTTGAAACTTTGATATATTTTCTGAAAGTCATAAGGTTAATTTACCCATTTGTGTACCCAAAGTGTATTAAGTTATGTACACTCTTCTTATTTGCTTCACACAGCAAGTTCTCCAGCAAGCTCTTGGAATCAGTTTGTCTAATCTACACAAAACTGTGCTCTTTCTCAGCATTTTGTTAGAAAAGGCTTGTATACCTCTTGACAAGAGGAATTACTTCTGTCTGTACATTGCTAGAAATTTCATTCCTTCCCCAGTTTTAACACTTGTCATAAGTCTCAACAAAAGCATACACTGTTACTTAATCAGGTAAGGTCCAGAGCAGTTTCCGCCAATCAGTGATGGTTAGTTCACCAGCTTCCTTCTGGATCGCTCCCATAGGTGGAGGTACGGCTCCTCTGACCTCCATGGCACCACTGCATGGCCAGGCATGGCACAGCAATCGTTTCATAAGGAATGACCCAGTTTGCTCACAGGGCTTAAGAATTCCCCTTAGTAGGATAAAGTTTGAGCTTAAGCCTGTAAGTCCCGAGAACCATCTGCCCAGACGTAAGTCTGCAGTTACCAACTTTAGTAACTGATGAACCAGTTCATCACTTTTTCACCTTTTACCCTCTCAGAGGTCCATGGGCAGAAGCCCAGTAATGAAGCAGACCATTCTTCCTCTCTGCTTTTCTAGGTTCCTCCGTGCTTGCTGTCTTTGTTTGTAACCTTTCATATTTGGCAATCTTTCTGCAGTTAATTCACCTTTCACAGCTTCTCTGAAATCTTCCTGGAGCAGCCTGTCTACTGCAGTATCATTATAGCAGTTGTTTCTAATTGGCTGTTGCAGCTAAGAAGAGTGATTAGCCTGGAGGAGTGAGGAAGAGAGCATAAACTCAGCATCTCATTAACACTTTTTGTGCTGTATTTACTTATGCAAGAGCAAAAAGAGAAACCTTTTTATGAAGGCGCTTGCTTTATACATTTATAATTACATCATCTGACATGTTTTCTTTTGATAGGAAGAACAGCTAGTTCTAGAAATCAGCAGGATCTGAATATGTGTGGTTGTAAAGATAGTGCTGTTGGTGACTAAAAGTGTAACAGCTGCCATTCTCAAGTATCAGAATGCTCTCACTAGAGGAGTGGAAGAAAACTTGCACAAATCATATAATCAGCTGTGTTGCTACTGTTGCAGTTTTGACTCATCAAGGAGGTTACTGCAGCTTTGTGTGGGTGTATCACAGAAGCACTTTTATACTGAAGGGAGATAAGGTTCTGTTAATCTAATGTTTCCATAATGACATTATTCTGTGACCATTAATACAAATGTCTTAAACCATGAGATCCTTTGATCAGGTTTCTTCTATCAGGATTTTGTGTAAATTATTTGGGGATGCTGGTCAACACAACTAGAATGGTCTACAGAGCATATTGAATAGAGTTACTTTGTTCTTTGTGGTATTTAAATAGCATGCTAGCACCACACTCTTGAAAGATATTATCTGGTTTCTGTTTATGCCATTCAAGTAATAGATATTAGCAATGTTATCATGATGTTTAAAAACAAAAGAAGGTGGTTCGGCCTCATTATAGTTCTGGAAGACCTCTTTAGTATTTATTTACATCCAGCTATTTGTGCACGAAAATATTGGTAGCTGTCTACTTGGAAATAATTGTGTGTGCATAACTTTTGTAGGGAGGACTGAGACCTAAAGTGTAACTGAGTTCTGATAAGAGGGAATTCCTGCTCTTCTCTTCAGCTGAGTGTGCTAGAACTGTCTTCTGACTGAGAGAATGTTGTAGTAGAGAACTGAGTGTAGTCAGAGGTGCTGGATGGGAGGGGCCTGTGGCGATCACCTGGTCTGCCTTTCTCTTCAGAGCTGCTGGGATTAGATCAGGTTGGCTTAGATTTGTCCAGTTTTATCTTAGAACCACCAGTGATGGAGAGCCTTGTCCCTCTGTGGGTAACCTGTTTCGGTGCTGCAAGTTTTTCCTGATATCCAGTGGGAGTGTCGCAAGATGAGTTTCTGGCTCCTGCCTCTTATGTCATCTGGCAAGACTGAGTACCTGTAACTACCTTCCTGGTGGTGGTTTCCTGCAGTCTCATTATTGGTAAATGAGCCCCATTTCTTCGGAAGATGTACTTCAGGACCATAGCCGCCTTGGTAGCCCACCACGGGACCCTCACCAGCTTCTTGTCTTTTCTTTTGACCTGGGGGTCTAATCTCCACTCATCTCTGAGAAAAAACAAAGTAATTCTCAGATATATTTTTTTCCTCACAAACTTGCTTATGCTCATTTTGGAGCTAGATATGAAGATTTCCTGAGTAAAAAAATTAACTGACTAAATTGTAGTTACATGTTTTATGAAAGTTTTCTAGGGTGCCTCGTGTTGAGAAACTGCGGAACTCAGTTTCTGTTGGAAACAGTGATTGTGCAGGCTATAATGAAAATCATGTCTGAAGTATTTGACTGAATTGTTTCTGAATAAGGGTTTTTTTTTTTCCACTTGTGTTTAAAATAAGCAGAAGGGAAAGCGATGTTACAGTTAGCGTTACAATCTCTGCTCTGTAAAGCAAGAGACCTGCATGTTAGTGCTTTCTAAATAGCATCTTTTAGCAAATTTTACATAAATAGTCAGCTACACAAATCAGAGCAGGGAGATTTGTAACTAAATGTCACTTTGGTATACAGAGGAATATCATTCTGTGAATAAAACACTGGTAGGTCAAAATGAAATACCTACCTACGAAAATATACACTTCAACTATGGCAGTACGAACTCTAACCTGTTGCCAAATGCTAGCAAATATTCTGTGTAGAGCAACAGTTAAAGAAATAAAAACAACACACTTGATAATTACTATTTAAAAATGAACTTTAAATAGATGGAATAGTTACAAGGGGAACACATGCTAACTTTATATGTTTAAGTAATTTGATTTATGCATAGTTCCTTGAAAGTAATGGAAATACTCATCAACATTCAGTTATGTAAATTGGTGTTGGAAAAGAGAATTTAATCTGTTCCTAAGAAAGTACCTATATTTGAACAGGGCATAAGTGAGAATAACCCTTACTAATTAAGCTGCCTTACTAGAATAGAGAGTATTGAGTGTCGTCTTGGTAGTAAGTGTGGGAGAAAAGGCTTCAAGTGTGAAAGCAGTCAAGCTTCAGATGTGGACAGTCTGACTTGATTACTACAGACATGATGTGTGGGTAATACTGGTAGAACTTTCAGAGTTTACCTAATCTACCTTTAAGCAGAAACAAATTGCAGGAACACATTGGATTTTGAGGTGAATTAGTTTATTTTGGGGTAAATTACTGAGAAGCTTTAAAATCAGTTCTATTAGAAAAAATACCTTCAACATCAGTTGCAGCTGATACATGCTAATAAAATACTGTCTCAATATTAACCAGTCAAGTAAATATTTTCCTCCTCACTTTTATTAATGGATATTTGGGAGACAAGAGTTAATAGAGGGATAATAGAGGGAATAATAGAGGGATAATAGATAATAGATATATAGAGGGAATGGAAACTCACACTCATCACTATTTAGTAGTTCAATTCTGTTTTGTCTCTAAAATAAAGCTATAGAGTCTCCAAAGGAAGGAAATCCAGATGGGTGTGGGAGGAAGTGGAGGATGGAGAAGCAAGGGTAAGCAAGTTGGGGAAGTCTTAAGTTAGGCAGTGGGAAAGAAGAAGCATTTCACATTTCTTAAAAGAAAAGGAATTACTTTGTTCCAAAAATCACAACAGACAGTCAAACTGAAAACTCCTGCTAATTTCTAGCCACTACAGTATGTGACATTAGGCAAAGAAATGAAAATGTATGAAAAGGTGAGGCTTTAGATCTTACAACTGTTAGATGATGAATAGTGTGTTGCCTCACCACGCATATGAATCTTGGCAGTGCACCGGAATGGCACACACCCTATAATCTCCTGTTTCCTAAATATATCTCCATTTTCTCAGTCCCTTTCTCTTCTGGAACTCCCTCAGTTCTTTTCCTTCAGGGAACCTATTTAAATCAGTATGAGAGCAGTTTCAGAAACACATGCTTAATGAAAACAGAAGGAAAATTATTTATCTCAAATCTTGTTTCCTGTGCAATCAGAACTAGCCTTCTCACACGTCATAACACTTGGAATGGAGCGGAACATTTTCCTAACTGTTATGAAGAATGATATGAAACTCAGTTTTGAACAAATGATTCTGACCCTTTCTAATGTCTTCCTGCCTTCCCCTTCCTCCCAACTTCTGTATTAACTTGTTCTAATTGTTTATACAAATCACAAAATTGGTACATAAAATATCTCAAGACACTGTACATGCATGAGAAAATACTATTATCGTTGTGGTCTTTGGAGAGGGATTGGAGGGGGTGAAGAAAACTTTTTTCAGAAGTAAACTTATCTAAAGATATTTTTAAAAGTAAATATATTTTTAAATATGTATGTTAATATTCCTTTTAAGGCTTAGGAAACCTGTACTTAGAATTCAAATGCATTCTTAACAAGGATTCAGATATATAAAAAGCTACTTCACCTTCTGAAATCCTTGTATTGTTTCCTCTTGTGAAGATGAGTTGTACTCAAACCAAATTAAGTATTCTGTATAGCTGGTATTGGAATTCTTATAGAAGGGGGGAAGAAAAAAAGTAGTTCTCAATTAGACAATTGATAGCTTAGCAGCTAGGAGAACATGCATGATGGGTGGGGCTGAAAGTCCTGTTACCTGAAATCTTATTTTCCCAAGAATACTTTGCGCCTAGGAATATTAACAAATTCTGTCTGTGGGACTTGAGCTGATCCTAGTTGCATGACTTTCTACTACAGGTGTCTTACTAGGAATTGCAGTAGGAAAGGAGAATATCCTTCCAGTGACTTCATGATGGGTAGCCTGACTTAGGGAAGGAGGTGGAATGCAGGGCTATACTAACCTAGCACATGTTAAATGTGACTGTTCAAAACTTTTCCAAGAGCAGTAGCAATATTTTGAAGGTCTTGTCCTTGGTAAAATTTCTGTTGAAAAAGAGGAGGGCTTGCCCTGAAAAGTATTATTAATTTTTCTCAGATAAGGGTTGAACAGAGGACACTGACATAGGGAAATGGCCTTTGTACTATGAAATAATTACAGCCATTGTGTTTACTGCTTTTAATAAATGAACTTTCCAACAAGCAGCCTATTCTCTTGTTATTTGACTGAGCCTAAATATCTTCAGCTTTATACAATTGTAAATTGGCAAGAATACCAAACATTTTTCAGTTTGATATGAGAACATTTCCTGTAAAACATGTTTGTCTTCCAATTTAAGAGCTTTCTAGTTATGGTGATAATCTGCTGAGATCTGTGGAATGTGGTTGTCTTTTGAAACTTTCAGACAATAAAACTACTATATGGATTTAGTGAGGAATAAACTGAAAATGATTGTCTTTAATACTTGTTTAGTGTATATATGAGTGGAATTTATCTAAAATGTAAAAGGGAAGACAGTAATAGGTAAATATACTACATTTTAATAACAGCAATAGAGGTCCTGAACCTGTATTGTAATCTACAGGTGTATTGTTGCACCCATGCAATACCTGGTATTGTGAGTTATGTCTATATTGTGGAATGCCTGTGAGCGTTTCTCAGCTGCTGGGTTCAAAAGCACAGCTGTGGCCTCATATGCTTACCATCTCCCCCCACCAATTTTACCCCTTGTAACACAGCGCACACATAGTCTCTTTCTCAAATGCGGCAAGTAAATAACAGAGATTTCAGCGCTAAAAATGGGTTTTACTGTATTTCTACTGTGTTATTTGGCAGTGTAATGACATTTAATGTATTGCAGTTCATCCTCAAGCCTTGAGAGTAGAACAGTTAGTGAAAGGCTTTCATCTTTCACTCCCATGAATGAAGATGAGTAGCTCTGTTAATATCAGTTAGTGTAGCAAAAAGTTACATAGAAAAATGGAAATCAAAATGTGTTTTGTGGATATACAGTTTTCCGTTTTGTTTCATTGTGAGTGAAAGGCAAAAATAGTCTGTTAGAAGAGGCCAAGTATTATCGAATAGCTGGCTTCTTCAGCTTTGATTTATACATTTAAATAACAAGATTTAATAAAATGTGCATGGCTTCCAGTTAATCATTGCAGTTATTAAGTTTTACCAAATCCTGGAAATAAACTTATACTAGTTCATTTGAAAAGTCATGCTAGACTATTTCCTAGTGAATCTTTTACTGTTTGGGCCTTTTAGAGGGTCCTGTTCCACACATCCCCCTCACCCCCCACCTCCCTGGAATGTTCCATCCTCTATTTTCTTTTGCAGTTTCATTGTAGAACTGGAAGTGCGGGGAGAAAAGTTAAAGCAACTGTTTTTCTAAGACTTGATAGGAATTTTTTTGTTGGAGAATGTTTGTGAAAAACCATTTTCAACTCAAGTTAGTCTATAGTCATTACTGGTTTTATAAATAGTAAGAAATGTCCCCATCAAAAGCCAAAGTAAATAAAAATATGGCGAAGGTTCCATAATGCCATATATGTTGTACACAAGTGAGTAAAACTACAATAATTTTCCCCATGCAGAATTCAAGTTTCTTTCCTTTGGCACCATGCTGCCAGTAGTAGTATTTGTTCAGTTGTGTGTCATGCAAATCTTTTTATGTATATGACCATAAGAAAACTTACCTTCAGTAACAGAAAACAACTTATTCGATGCACAGGATGTTTTTCAAAACTAATATCCAAAACTGCTAAGCGGAGTTAACTTGGGTCAGCATGTTGCCAACTGTAAAATGTCAGAGAGAGTTGAAGGGAAGGAAGAAAATGGAAAGGAACAATTTTAGGAAGTAAGAATATCAATTTATACTGTGTCTTTGTCCCTAATTAAAAACTTTGTCATATGGAATTTCTGTATCTGAACATATAGTGTAGAGTTTTGTGTTTCATAACCTCCTTTTCATTAAGTATTCTCTCTAGAGGTAAGGCAGGTACATTTTAGTAAAATGGAGAAGCAAATACTGAGGGAAGAAGGCAAAGGTAAAGACTCCAAATCCAGTCCTGAAGTTTGGAGAATAACAGTGCCAGTCTCTACTTCAGAGGCTTTTTACTTCATGAATTTGATTCTTATAGACACTAGGGTTTTTTTGTCAAATCTTCTGTATTTATTAGTGAATATCCACATTTAAAGAGGCAAAAGCTAGCACAGCTTGACTGTATTTGAAGTCTAGTATCTAATCTTAAACCATGTCCTTCACTCTTAATTTTAATAATCTTAGGGTCCTACCAAAATGAACAATTTATATGGGTAGAAAACTAGTTTCTTATGTGATGCTGGTCCTTAGACTGTTGCAAAGAATGTGAAGACTGGGCCAAGACTCTTCCTTGTGCACCAGGTTAATCTCTGCTGTTCTGAGGAGGCATCACTGTTACTTTAAATCTCTGCTGAGTTTCCCTTCCCAGGGCAGGGCTTGTGACTCAGCCTGGTTAAACTTGGTTAATGCATCAGCTTGTCAGATACAGTGTTGGAGCTTGCTTTATACCTGCAGGCATCTAGAAGTTATGGATGTATTTCTTTGGTGAATGAAATAGTCATCTGGGACAGAACCTACAAGGGTTAGGCTGAAATTTAATGAAGATGACATCTTGCTACCCTGGCTGATGTTTCAGTTCTCAGGATCAGCTGGGTACTGGGAAGGGGGTGATTACTTGCATGTATAATTAACTGTAGATCCCACACACTTGACAAAAGGACCTACTCTAAAACCTCACTTTTTATTGAAATTGGAGATTGATGGAGAATCTTTGGTCTGCCATTCAGCTGACAAGCTACAAGTGACTAACATGAGGAAAACATCTCCCACTCTGAATTACTTATTTCCAAGTAACTTGGGGAAAAAGCTCTTTATTGCCGAACAGTTTGCATTTGATTTATATTCATCAATGCCCTTCATAATTTTGCAATATAACTTAATGAGATGCAAGATTGACATATACATCCTGGAAGTCTTCAGAGCGACTTTTTGTTTTCCCTTCTAAGAGCAAAAATTTTTGAAGGTTGAGTTTTGGGTAGCATAGACTGGCAAGCCTCCTGCCTATATGGGGTGAACTAGTGGAAAAGATAATGAAAACTTAACTTGATACAAACTTTTGGTTAAATATGATACTTTAGAGAAGAACCGAGAGGACTTTTATAAAGGGAAAACACACTTCAAGAACCTGTTGAAGTGTTGGAAAATATCTTGGTAAAATTTTACTATATGCTTTCTCTTTTTATCCTCTTCTCTAAGGATTGATTGCTGGCCATAGCAGGAACACAGCGCTAGGTTGGACCTTTTGAACACACTTAGTATGGCCATTCTTATGTCCTTGTGCTTTGTTGATAAGTACTCTTTATTTGAAGAAAAAATTATTTCTCAAAAGACCAGTTACAAATGAGACTTTGCTGTACTATGCTCACCACTAGTGTGTTGTGCTTTTTTCTTTTCTGTTCTCCTTCTGTATGCAGATGGGCAAGCACATCACAGTAGCTCCAAGTCCTTGCTTGTCTCTGTTGACAGAGAATCATGTTTAGGGATGCTTCATGCTGGCTGACTTTTCTTGCTAAAACTTAGTCCACCCTTACCAGTTAATCACTCTTGATAGATGGTCATGAACTCATCTAGTATGATTACAGTAATGGTCTCGTGATAAATAGGTTTAAAATACAGAATTAAAACATCAGAAGACTGATTTTTAACTTTTGCTCTGCATAGTTTATACTGTCATAATTAAGGGCAATAAGTTTTGCAGCTATAAATAACAGTAACAAATTATTCTTTCTTAGGTGTGCCTTGCAATAGCTCATTATTCTCAGCCAACAGATCTTCAGCTTCTCTTTGCATTTGAGTATGTTGGAGAAATATATCATAATCCAGGTGAGCATGAAAATATTTTGATTTTTTTTTTCCTATTTCATAATATGTAATTTTAGCAAGACTTCTGTCTAGAAGCAGTGGCAAAAAGCATTTGAGGCTTTCTCCAGGGATAATAAAATTGGCTTGTCCTGCACCCAACCTCTTACTTTGGTTTATAAGTCACTCATTGTGATAGACATTAACAACCAAATTGAAGGAAATGTCTTTTCTGTCTGAAACAAACCCAAGCTACCTATGTCAGCACTTATGTCAGCATGAATACTCATATTTCTCAATTCACGCTTCGATCCTCCTATTGTATGTCTATATTGGTACTCTAGGTACCTAGCTAATCTCCCATCAGGCAGGCTTGTTCACCTGCCCTTCTCTTGGGAATAAGTTTCTCTTCTGGTGGTATTGCAGGAGGATTTGTGCAACTTGGGACTCCATACCTTCTTTCCTAGAGGCTTACTAGGCAGTTCTTACCACTCAAAACCTCCACCACCCCTGCTGAGCTGGAGCACACCCTCTCTGCTCAAGGCCAATCTCCAACTGAACCTTGTCAGTTAGGTAAGCCTAAAAAAGATGCCTTTGGAACTTGATTTCTAGTGTAATGCTGTGCGGTCACTGCTTAGTGTTCCCCAGCCAATACACAGCTGAAAACCATCAGTTCTAGCATAACAAGCCTCCAAATAAAGTGCCATTGATGTAGTTCTGTGGTACTGAAATATTTACTCAGCAGCTGGCACTAGAAACCACTGATCTGCCTGTTAACAAAATTTGAATGTTGTGGAATTATGAGCTCAGGCCTTCAAATTTGCACAAAAATGCATGTGTTTCATTCAGGTGCCTACATGACTGCCCTGTGCATGCACAAGAATAAGTGTGCATGTGATTATATTGCACACATAATTACACATACAATTTCTTACCTGATAAAACTTGGGCGCTCATTAAGACCCAGGTACTTTAGTCTTATAAAGTAGTAGGGATGAAGCCACTTTGGAGATAAAATTACAATAAAATGTTGAAGTGGAGTGTGAACAAAACGTTAGTCTGTCACAAAGTTGCCTTTACTCTGTACTTAAAATACCATTTGCTTTATTGAAAAACACCTAGTGGAAGAATTACATAAGGTGGGTAAAAAACATTGTTCCTCTGGAGCAGCAGACCAGAATGCCAAAAGACAGTTGTTCTCCTGTGCTACAGTTGCTGGAGAAAAGAGTCTGAAATACTCTGCTTTGGGTTGGGTTTTTTTGTTGTTGTGAACCCTGGTGTTTTTAGCATAGAACTCTGGCTTTGCACTTTTAATTCCAGCACTGTGTTTTATGACTCTATTCCTCATAGTCCTGGTAAAATAAAAGTTGAGATACTCTCTTTGTGCTTCTTGAGGAACATAAAGAGCCTCCATTGCTCTGCTCTGTATGTACATCATTTTTTCTCAGGCTGTACATGATAATTATATATCCTGCCATTGAACAGTAAAACAATAACATTTTTTGTTAACTATCATATTTCTCTGTATACACTGAACAACTACTTCATTCTGATTTTAGGCCAGTTTTCTTCTGAAAAACAGAAGCAATCTGAGTACTAGTGCAAGAATGAAGTTGATAGATGCAGAAAGTAGAAACTACACAGTCACTGATATGACAGTAGAGCCATAACGCTATATTCTGCTTTGTTTGGGCAGGCACATCTTTACAGACTCCTGTAAAGCTAGGAGCTTGCATGGAGGAGGTAATAGGGTCGAGTCTCAGTTTATTTCACTTCCATCTAAAAATGTATCTCCAAGCGTCAAGAAACAAAATGTAGTCGTCTTTGACACAGCTGACTGCCTCCTTGGCACCTAAACAATAACCAGCAAAGAAGATCCTTCCATATTAGTAACAGACTATATAATCTTCTTGGTCCCTAGCCACAAAAGGTCATCTTTATGTGTGGATGTAAAAATCTCTCTATAAAAAATGTATATATATTTTTTTAACCTGACCTTCAATTTATTTTATCTGCTGTTAATCCAGCAGTCATTTAAAGCTTTTGGAATGATATAATTTTCATTTTCCTTTCTTCATAAGGGACCTAATTAAAGGGTAGCCTATAAAGGGTTCATGTTTTTAAAACATTGCTAACTTTGACTTGTTGAAGAGAGAAATCGTGAGAAATCCTGAGATAACATTTATTCCTGAGTATTAGTATGTCTTGCTTTCTGTTAAGCAGCACAACATACCAATTTTCTGTTGCTTCTCTGTTGAAATTGCAGGAAAAAATACATTTACATCTTCACATATCGTGAAGCTGTCATTAAATCACTGATCTGTGGTAATACAAAAATAGGGAGGGTTAGTCCTGATGGTAGTGGCTCATTCTTGTAATCAGGAAGATGAAGGGTTTGGGGTTTTTTTCTCTTTTTTTTTAAAATGTGCATTGATGAATGTTCTTTTCCTAGCAAAGAAGGTGAATGGAATAGACCCAGGAGGTGGTGGTGGTGGCATCGGCAGTGCCAGTGGTCAGCAGACGCCTTTGTTTGAAACTTACTCTGATTGGGATAGAGAAATCAAAAGGACAGGTGCATCAGAGTGGAGAGTTTGTTCAGTCAATGAAGGTTATATGATATCTACTTGGTAAGTTTCTCTTACAACACAAGTAGACAAAAACAAGGCTATTGTACTGTTTTTTCCTGTCTCCTCTACCAAAGCCTCCATCCTACCTGACTCTGCACTTCACCTCTTAAATGTGCCACTTGCTGGAGAGGCCCTCAGTTGAAAAATCCTGCAAATGCTGTAATGAAAAAATATGTAATATTTTGGCATCTGTTGCTTTCGTGCATTTGTACCTCCCTCTGAAACATGCACGTTTCTAAACAAATACATCTCAGTTGTACCAGTGGTTCGTACGATCATGCATACAGGACAAGCAGTTAGCACTGCAGTTTTAGGGGCTGGTGCACTATAGTTTAACAGAGTTGGTAAGACAACACTGCAACAAGAGGAAAGCTGGTAAAATATATAGGGAAAAGTAACCTTTTGTATCATATTTTTTTTCCCCAAGCCTTCCAGAATATTTTGTGGTTCCATCTTCCTTAGCAGATCAAGACCTTAAGCTATACTCCTACTCTTTTATTGGGAGACGAATGCCAGTAAGTGTAGTCTTTATTCTGTTACTGTTCTTGATCATTGTACAATATTAGTCTTAAAACAATGTTAACTGGCATACATATCTTTGTGTGTAACATTAAGAAAAAAAATTCTGTAGAATAATGTTAACCTTCATTATTGTTTCTTTTGTGGTTTTTTTCCCATTTTAGTTATGGTCCTGGAATCACCCTAACGGGAGTGCCCTTGTAAGAATGGCCAACATTAAAGACGTGTTGCAACAAAGAAGAATTGATCAAAGGTAAATGATTTTTTATGTTTTATTAGACATGCAGGATAACACAAGTGGTGACTATGTGCAACATACAGCAGCAGTTTGTAATTGAGAGCATACTTGCTTCATAAGGTTGCAGTGCAACAGCTTTTGAGAAACTGTTCTCTGACTATAGTGCTGGTACAGCTCCTATTCAAGGTCTACTTCAGTTTTGAATACTGAATAATTTTCAGATTTTAAGGGATGCTAATTTTTTAGGTGGCTAGTCATTCAGATGGCAAGGATCAGACTCGGTCAGTTAAAAGGATCACAATTAATCTTTTCTATCGATGTTACTGTAATACAACTTTTTGGTGGAGATTTTCTTACCTGCTTCTGAGAGACAAAACTATTTAATTTATTAATGGCATTGGGAAATACGTTCTATAGATTTAGTGCCACAATGCACACAGTATTTCTGTGAAATATTTGTCATTCACTGTCCTTGATGAAAGTTGAAAGCATTTAGGGCCTCACATAAGTAGTTTACTAGCTTGGTATGTTTTGTTCTTTGGTTTAATTTGTAAGGTGACTTTTTGTAGTAGTACAAACACCTGGATTATGTGTGTTAGGCTGGAGCTCAGAGTTTTATTTGAAACCCTGATTTCCTGGCTTTATAAGCTTCATATATGTTCTGTTTATTTAGTGTAGATAAGTTCTAAAAATCTGGAAAACTAAAAATTAAATAGAGCTATTTAACTGTAAGTCAGCCTCAGATTTTCATTTCCCAAACAGGTTGTTTTAATGATCCAGCATTTCCGTTTTTTTGTTTTGTAACTAGTCAATAGCTTTGTGGCAAGAGCAATATAAATATATATGAATATAAAGTATTAAACTTTTTTTTTAAATAAGGTGCACGTTTTATGTGGCTTTAGTTGTTTGCAGTAAAGACTGTCATTTTTCTTGAAAGACTGTTTCTGTCCTTGCCAATAATGAAATGTCTGTTTCTTTTTCTTACTTAGGATTTGTAATGCAATAACTCGAAGCCATCCCCTGAGAAGTGACGTTTACAAATCTGATCTGGACAAGTGTCTCCCGAACATCCAGGAAATCCAGGCTGCACATATCAAACTCAAACAGCTCTGTGTTAATGGTATGTTGGACTGGACTGTCCTTTCATAGTGGTTATTTTCTTGAAATCCAACAAATTCTGATAGATCTGGCTAACAGGAATATTTACTTGAAGTTGTTCTGCAATGTAATTACTTTCATTGTTGCAGAGCCTTTTGAAGAAACTGAAGAGAAGTGGCTATCCTCACTGGAAAATACTCACTGGTTAGAGTATATTAGGTGTGTACCATTAGTAAAATGATAATTAATGAGATGTGAAAAACTTTCACCAGTATAAATAAGCAGTGAATCAGTTGAAGGATTCTCTATTTTAATATGAGTTAGGTAAATATAGATATCCCAAATATTTTTTCTTCTAGAGCGTGAACCAGTTACATTAACTGTTGTATCACTTTATTTTCCTGTTCCTGTCTAGATCGTTTCTTAAGCATTCTGCTGAGCTTGTATATATGATGGAGTGTAAGCATGTTTCTGTAATTCTACAAGGTAATACAACCATACAACAATTCTTAGCATTAGTATAATAATACAGATAAACTTATTTAGATAAACTTTTAATCTTGTACATAAAACCCATCACTTCAAAATATTTTAGGCATTTGAGGAGCTAGAAAGGAAAACAATTTTGTTACCTAGCTGAACTGTAGTGTAGTCCATAGCATCAAAGAAATATTCCACTTTGAGTCTTTGTGGGTTTTATTCTGACTTTATCAGAATAAATTTTAGGGTGAACTTTTGTGCTGTGTTAATTGGGCTAATATTCCTTGCATAAGCAATATCAGTTTTAGTCAAAGGTTCTATATACAAAAGTATTTCACTAACAGTGGCTGCTGTTGTGTAAAGTGCAGACAGATATTCCAGGAAAAAAAGACACTGAAAAACTTGTTCATTTTGAGAACAGTAATGTTGTAATTTCTGTAATTTTTACAAGACCCGTTCAGCTGGTATATCTCACTCTCCTTGTACAATGGCCTTCCTAAAACTGCTTCAGGGTGGGAAATATGATGAAAATTTTCAGCAAAATGAACACTCTCCTTCTCATTACATGTTGGTTTAAATACCAGCTGTTTGGATGGGTATTTTGTTCTTGATGAATGTGTTGTTGTGCTGCATACTGCAGGAACCTTTTCTATAGTATGAGTCTCAGTTTAAAAAAAAAAAAAAAGGTTGTTTTATTCTCTTAGGTTTTTTTGAAACTATGAGAACAATTACAGCAGCAAAAAGCATGTTTTAAAAGAAATTCAAAGCAGAACAGTAGACGTAGTTGCCACTTTTTGCTCTTTGAGATCTAATTCTGTATATGTGCATGTATACTGTACATATTTCATACATTCTTGGTGTGTTATTCACAGAGGAAGAGGGACGGGACCTGAGCTGTCTTGCTGCTTCTCTCATTCAAGTCATGCTGGATCCCTATTTTCGAACAATTGTTGGATTTCAAAGCTTAATACAGAAGGAATGGGTCATGGCGGGATATCAGTTTTTAGATAGGTGTAACCACTTAAAGAGATCTGACAAAGAGGTAAAAATTAATTGTATTTGTATGTGATAACAGTATCTGATTAATACCAGCCTGAATATTTATTCACACAGAAATCTAAAAGTAAAAATGTATTTTAATACTTTCAAATCTTATGAAACTAGTGTCAAAGAAAATGAGTCTTTGTCCAGGATAGACACATTTTCTTCACCCCCTGTAGCCATGTGAAGATCAGTGAAACATCAGGTGCAAATCAAATGTTGCTGGGTTTTTATGTTGCTTCAGTGTTAATGTATGAAAAGGTCCCACTGTTATAAATGGTAGCACAGCCCACATTTAAAATTAAATGAAAGGAGATTAGAGGTGGTTTTGGAGGGGGTGGGTTGGTAGGTTGTTTTACCAGGGGTATCCATTTTCATCCCTGTTCTTTTGAATGCAAAGTCCCATCAATATGCAGTACTTTTCGAAGTATTGAGCTGATAGAGAAGCACAGCAGCTTTATGAACTGATACACAGCTGCCAAACAGATTAATAGAGGGTAGCACAGTGCTTGATTTTCAGTCTTTCCAGCTAATCTTATTTAGCCTCTTCATTGCAAAGGAGACACTTGTAATTGCAGTTGGAAAAATAGAGAACCCTAGGTTAGCAGTCTTTGTCAGGGACAATGCTCAAGAGCAGTAGAAAGCAAGATCCCCGGAGAGCAGAGCCAGCAGGTAAACCAAGGACACTGAGCACTAAGCAGAGAAGATGCCTGAAGGGCTAAAGGAAGAGAAATGCCAAGGGCGAAATGATGAGAAAGCAGATATTTTGACCCTATATTTCTAAAGCTTCTGATAAATGATTCTTTATACTTTTGCCATTTGTGTGCCACTGTGGGAAGAGCTAGACAGTGTAGTGAGAAGGTAACATGGCTGAATCATAAGCTCTCCTGTAATTTCAAACAAGAAGGAAGTATATACATTGTGAAAATAAGACCAGGTAGTGAGGAAGGCTCATACAATCACTAATCTAGAATTTGAGGGACATACAAGATGGCAGAAAGCATTTTTGTAGCTACATCAGTATGAAGAGAGCCCAGGAAAGAACTGACTGGCTTCTTACCGTGAGGGAAGGCTGTGGAAAGGTAATGCTGAGAGAGCCACCTGACATAATTTCTTGTGAAAGTGGCTAAACAGAAATACAGGGTATTCCAGTTGCATAAAATACTCTAAAGACTTTACCCTGTTGAGGAATGTACCAGAGGTGTAGCTAAATACCCTGATGGAGCACTAACTGCAAAGAAATTGGTATGACTTGGGAAAAGCTTATATTCAATCTAATAATTCTGTTTCTTTTCTCAGTCTCCTTTGTTCTTGATGTTTCTTGACTGTGTTTGGCAGCTGCTAGAACAATACCCAGCAGCCTTCGAGTTTTCTGAAATGTACCTGACTATATTGTACGACAGTGCACGTATCTCATTGTTTGGCACTTTCCTTTTCAATTGTCCTCATCAGCGAGTAAAGGAAAGCACTGTGAGTATGAAGTGTTGCACCTACTTTTCAAATAGGAGACTTCAGCATGCCCTTCTGGAAATAACAGCATCTCAGCTAAATGGTATTCCTTTGTGTTTTTCAAAATGTCACACTCCGTTTGGGGCAAAATATTCAGCTCCCCAGATGAATATGATCAGAATGTCCTTTCAGGTGATCTTTGCATAGACAATAACTAACTATTCAGGAAGAAAGTCTGTTAATTTAATTTTCTTTTTTTTCTAGAAAAGCATTGTTATTGTACATTCTTACTTGTACTCCTCTAGGAAACAGATTTATATCCAAAACTGATGAAGTAGAATGACAGGCAATAAATAGTATTTCACACTTCAGGCAAATTTTGTAATCTCTTGACATAATTGTTTAAATAGTTGAAAAAGTTGGGAAAGTCTGTGTAAAGTTCAAATAGTAATGCACAATGAAGGTATTTAAAAAACTGAACACTTAAAATTTGTTTTGGAAAACTGGAGCTTCTCAGAACTGTGTGTAGAAAACTTCTGATGACTGATGAAGTAAAGCTTACTTAATTGTTAAATATTTTCCCTTTAAAGTTGTAGGTGGCTACCTTAAAAGGAAGTAGAGCATTGAGGGACCATCAGTGTATTCTCAGAATAACCCTTTGGGGTGTTTAACAAATTCACTATATAATTGAAAAGTAATTTTTGCTAAGTGAGCAGTAGTCCTGCCTCTGCGTTGCACAAATGAAAAAAGAGGGTAGCTGTTTTCTCCAGCAGCAGACAGTCTTGCTGCTCAGTTGCTTTGGTCCGCAGCCACCTCTAAATTATATCCCTGCTCTTCTTTGCCCAATAGTTATGCACTGGTTTACAATTAAGATTTGTGAATAAGTCTGTTCTCTTTGATTTTTAATATGCCTGAATGTTAACTTCTTGCAGGAATTTGCCATAAGCAAAAATATTCAGCTGGGTGATGAGAAAGGCCTCAAATTTCCTTGTGTTTGGGACTGGTCTCTTCAGTTTACAAGCAGGGATCGCCTGCTCTTCCACAACCCTTTGTATATTGGCAAGAGCGCGCCATGTGTACAAAATGGAGCAGTGAAAACTTTCAAACGCTCAAAGGTAACTATAGTGATGTCTGTCTGTGAATGGACTGTTTCTGTGCTTAAACATAAGGTGTTAATGCTTAAAAATTTACAGTCATATAGTGTTTTACACCCTCAGTTTAGCAATAGGAGCATTAATTCTCTTAGCTTCCCAGCCTGAAGAAATTATTTTCTGTAGAAGTAAAAATGTGCACTGTTAAGCTTTGTGTTCCAGGGCATTTTCTGATATGACTGAGCTCGCTGCCAACATTTGCATTTGTTCACTTATGAAAAAGTGATGAGATGCCACTTCTTTTCCCCAGGGTTGTCAGTTTTTTCAGTGAATACTGATTAATTCAATCATTCATTGTTTTAGATTCTAGAAAACATACGTATTTCTTTTTAAAGGCCACAGGTAGTCACAGTTTGCCCTCTGAGCCCTGTAGTGGCATCTCATAAGCTCAGAACTGTTTAAAGGTCACGTCATTTCTCTGGATGATGCATCCTAGCAGCTCAGGGAAATCTGCTCTTCTGCTATTTATTTCATAAACCCAGAAAATTACTGGTATTTATTTTCTATAGAAAAACTACAGCTCCACATTGCGAGGTGTCCCCCCAGCACTAAAAAATGGAATCATCAGTGAGCAAGAGTTCCTTCCAAGAAGAAACTCTCTGATACTAAAACTGAAACCAGACTTTCTACAGCAATCGGAGAGTCAGAGCAACAGTATGGAGCAGTACTTCAGAGACTGGTTTGCAAAGCCCGTTGATTTGCACGGCGTAATTCTACCCCATATCTCTGGAACACAAATAAAACTGTGGAAACTCTGCTACTTCCGGTGGGTTCCCGAGGCCCAGATTAACCACGGTGGCTTCATCACTGCTTTCCATAAAGTTTCTTTGCTGGCAGATGAAGTAGACATGTTAAACCGGAATCTTCGGCAGTACAAAAGCAACTCTTCTTTGCAAGGCAACTGCTCGGAACTGGATCAAAGCAGGATGTACTTCAGAGCAAATAGTTTAAATGACACTTCTGGGGCCCCAGACTTTCTCTCCTCCTCATTCCCATTTTCTCCTGTAGGGAACCTGTGCAGACGGAGCATTCTGGGAACACCTTTAAGTAAATTTTTAAGTGGTGCCAAAATCTGGCTGTCCACTGAGACACTTGCAAATGAAGATTAAGATGATGCGATGGCTTAAAGGTTTGGGGAGAACACAGCATATCATTTTGTCTTTTCTAAGTTAACACTGCTAAAGGAGGTATTGAAAGCTGTAATAGTTTTTATATACAAACATTACGTAAGTTTTGCACAAATATTTAAAAGCAAAGCGAGTGATCCTTCAAATCGCACAATTTTGTCTTTAGTAGTTCTCATCTGCTAGAACTTCTGGTCCCTAATCCCTTCTGTGTTTTTGTGGTTTGGCTCATTATATGCGATGGAGCATTTCATTAGCTAATTGAAAGGCTTGCTGTGGTCATTAATGAGGGTTCTGCTTGAAATATCTTTTTTCCCAGATAGTGACTAAAGTGACTTGTGTCAAAACAGCTTGGCAGGTTTGATTTAGGAGTTAGGTGCAGTGGACACAGGCCGACAGCTGAAATCTGGGAACAAACTATTTTACCAGATTGCCTTTTTAGGAAGAATACTTATGCATACATACATACATACTAATGTTCTGTGACTTGATCACTTTACATCTGTGTTAATGCAGTGTGTATCCATGGAGGGGGGGGTGGGGGGGTCCCTTCTCTTTCTCTCCCCAAAATGTATTCATTAACAATTAGTCAGATTTATGCTCCTTGTCATTAGCTTGAATTTAGACTATAGGAATCAACTTCAGGACGATGCACTGTTAACCTTAAAACATTTACTGTAGATTTAGTAATGTAGTAGCTTTAGAAGTGCCTTTAATTGGGAGGAAACAGTAGCAAGGTTACTCTAATGCAGCTGACCTCTCAACTTCTTATAACAGACTGTTATGGTAAGTTCTTGTTCCAACACCTGCCTCCCCCACTCCATTTCTGGAAATAACAGGCTGCCTACTCAAGAGATGGCAAGTTTTTCCTCTTTAAGGTTAATCTTGTTTGTAGGTCTCACGAGAGCCTCACTCTTTCATGTAAGCACCTCAGATACTCAGCATTATATCCCTGCATGGATCCTGATCCCTGCCAGCCCTCTCTTCTTCCTGTTGTAGGATGAAGGAGCTCTCAGCAGAATTCATACTGAAGCGCTGCTGGTCCCAGAAAGGAGGACATGCTCGAGGTGGCCAAATCCGTGGGGGTGCTAGTGCTGTTGTCACTTGTAGGCAGGTGCTGGGAGGAGAGAGGTTCGTGGTGCCTTCTTTCTGCGTACTGCATGTCCAGATGGACAGGGCAATGGACAACCACTGCTTGAGGGAATGAAACCCAACAGGCTCCCTCGGCTTAATGCAGCAGCCTCCTCTTTGCTCTAAAACCTTTTAAATGATACCTCTCCCCAGATGCTATGCCAGAAAGAGCCTCAAGTTTCATAGGGAGAAAAAAGTATACTGGGAGGGTGGAGGAATAGTAATGTGTCACTCTCATAGGTTAAGGCTTCTGTTGACTACCTTCACTTAACAGCGAGGCTGCATTTTGTATTGACTGATGGCTGTGTGAAACACAAACGGTATCGAACCAACCCTGCGCTGCTTTTCAGGTGCTGACTCACAAAGTCAGGCACCGAAGGCCTCGTGTGGGAGGCTAGAAGCTATTCTCAGTTATCAGGGGGGCAGCTGTATGAGGACAATACACAGGTTTTTTTTAAAAAAGGCAGGGAGGGATAGAATTGCGAGCTCTTCATTTGTTTCTAAAACCAAACTGGTCTTCAGCACAGCCTAAATCACAGTGTGCGTTTTGGATATCTAAGATTGCTCAAGTGTTTATTTCAGAGAATATGCATCTGGAGTGGCCTTACAGGCGCTTGTGTCAGAGAAGCGTGGTGCACACAGCACCATATTTCCCCGGGCTAGAAGCTACCTGACCTGCAGAGCTGTTGGGGGGCACTGGCTATGCCGCCTTCTCACACGGTCTTCGGTTTGGTGGGGATAAGGGGGCAGTTTCATTGTAAAGGTGAGCTCATGGGGTGGGGGGGTAGACTTCCTTTTTAACTAACCAACCCCCCAGAAACCTGTTTTTATGCAAAGAAGCTGAGTGTGTGCGTGCATGTGCACGTGTGCATCTGCATGCAGCCACGCACATGCGTGTTAGGACAAAATGCCAGATTGGTTCTGGTCAACTGTTTGTGAGGAGAAAACGTGTATTCACCTCAATTGCCTAATTATGCTGCAAGATGGTCTGAGCATGTTAAATGGTCCACAAACTAGTTGTGTTTATTTACAAGCTTGCTGGAGCAGTTATCTAACTTCTTCAATTTATTATTCAAATGTTTGTATTAGTTTGCTTTTGTGATTATTTTTTTTTTTTTTCCCCCATTAGCTTACAGCTTTCCCTGGTCTGATACTTGACATAAAAGACCTCAACCTGTGTGCTTAGTGTCTTTTGGTACCAATTTTTTTTCTTTTTAAAATTACAGTTAAAACTATGGTGTCTCTTTTTTTTTTTTCCTTAAAAGTATCTCTTTTTGGTTTAAAGGTACCAAAAATGTGTAAATAATTAGTCCACACAGGCAGCTGGTGGAATAAAAAAAAAATGTTTTGGCTAGTACCCTTTTGGGGAAAAAAATGGGTACTATATTTAAACAGGATTGTCTTTTATAAGATTTCAGACATTTTTACATTTCAGTTCTAAGATGTGTACAGATGCTGCAGATGGTCTTTGTGTTTTATATATATATAGTATGGGAGGGGGTTAAAAATAATATGCCTTTATAATAAACGAAACCTGTCTAAATATCTATTTGCCAAATAGGCTTAAAAAGAAATTTTACACCATTCAGAAAGGGAAGTTAGGCAAGCAGAGGTGGAGATGGCGATAAGCAGAGGGGGGAGAAATGGGGACACCTCCTGCAGGGAGGGAGGGAGGGGAGCCCCCCACATTTCCCTAGAAATGTCGACAGGGTTCTGCTTCCTTGTGACGGCAGGGGCCTTGCCTTCTGAGGAGACTGAACAACTACTGTGTGTGTCTCTGTGTGTGTGTCTCTGTGTGTGTGCATGCGTGCCTGTGGATGTTGTTTCTTCCTCTTAAGTTGGATGTTGTTTCTTCCTCTTAAGTTAAACATCTTAATTTTCTTAATTTACTTTCGAAAGACAGGTACTAAATGTCTGCACAGTTGCCTTATCAATAGTCAGTAGAGACTGCTCTGGACATCTTTTAATAACTTTCAAAAGCAATTCTGGGGTGTGAGTACGTATCTTTAACTTCTGTGTACAGAATACTGACATACAAGTGTGTATATATATGTGTGTGTGTATATGTATATGTACACATTTTCAAATTTTAGTTTCTGTTCATCATTTAAACCAAGATACTGTTAATGCCATTTTGGTGTTGCAAGAGTAGAAAAACTACCAAGAAGCTTATCTTTTTTTGTCTGTTTCTAGAAAACGTGCACTATTTTGGCTGTTACTGGCTGTTGTATCATGACTTTTGTACTACACTGTAAACCACATGGGGGAAGTACGAAATGCTGGTTGATATGGTTCAAGTGTACCTCCAGTGTCATTAATTACTGCAAGGTAGAGCTTATTGTAGACTTAGTGATCATGGTAGTACAACTTCATTCACCATTTACTGCCATGTATCAAATTTCTTTAATTCCAGAAATGCATTGAAAAGTGTGTGTGTGTAAGTATACCCAGGCCTGCACATACGTTTAACGTGCACCTGCCTGCAATACCACTTTGATATTAACTGCCTTGTATTTTTTAATGAAAATGTAGCAAGTTGGGGCAAAGGTTTTGGCTTACACTCAGATGGAAAGACATTAAAACCAAAAAATTTCTAACATGTATTTAAGCAAAGGACAAAATCTTTAAATTTGCCTCTTAACATAAGAGACAGAAATCTGTACCTCAAATTGCTCTAGGCAGTAGGTTTCTAATGCTGTTGCTGTGATGATTTAGAATTCACTATTTCAACTGAAACTAAAACCTTTGTGCCTGATAATGATTCATAAGTAGCAGTGCCAGGAAGCTTATAAAATCCTGATGCTGAGTTGTGAATGTGAAGTAAATGAGACTAAATAAAAGTTCATACCTTTCCTCAGCAAACTTCAGGTGGTTTTCTTTCACTTCCTCTAACAAAAAAAAATACAGGGTGTGTGTGTTTTTTCTAAGAAAAGCAGGGACACTGTGCTATAGAAAGATGATTAATAAAAAAGATGTGCAAATGATATTAGTTCTGGTTATGTTCTGTTACAGTGTCTGCTGTTTGTATTGTAAGCAAAATTTCTGATGCCAGGAAAACTTACTCAGTATGGGAAGGAAGACTCCAGAGTGTAGATGTTGGCAATGTGTTAAAACTGGGACAAACCCACAGGATTGTGACATCTTAAAAGAGAACTCTTCCTTTTGGTTCCATTTCAACTGACTGATTTCTGAAGGAGATAACACATCAAAAACTGAGTGACACACTGCAAATGAGTGCAGTGATCTTGGCACTGACCAACTCCTCTCTACTACCAGAAATCTTCACAAGATCTTACACAGATCTTCACAACAGAAGGAGCTGTTAAATAAATTATTCTTTCATACATAGCAGCACATAAAACCAGCATTTAAAATAAAAAAAGTTTTATGCATAACTCTGCCATCATGGACCAGCTGTATTTTTTTTATATTAAAGTGAAAAATTGACACACAATACAAAATGGGGACAGTTAGAGAACCCCCCTAGTCCTGACAGTCCTAGAAAGGTGCACTTTAAATTGGCATCGTGCCAGGAAATGCACAACATGATGAACTCAGGCTACACAGGCAACATGGAAATGATCAGGACTTGATGCATCACATTTTTCATTGTAGAGGATGTTCTCTGTACCAGTGTGATTGCATCTGTTTCTCTTTATGGGGCAAAACCCCTACGTTACCTTTCATAGAGTAAGGTATGAAATGGGTATAGAAGAGGAATGCTTTGTTCTTCTGAACACAAGATGATACACAGTAAATCATACTGACAGTCTTCTCCAAACTATTTTTTAGAATGTTTTGTGCTAAAAATAACCACAGTAATGTTCCAAGCAACTAGAATTTTAGAAGAAACTACTTTTAATAAGCAGCAGCCAGTAGTGTGTGTCATGCTCGTTCCTTTACAAACACCCAAGTTACCCACGGGATCAAGGTCTATTGTCAGCTGAGGCGTTTACTCTTGCCTCCGACAGCTTGCACGTGACAAACTTCCACTGCAGCACCCAGCTTCTTCAGTTCACTCAGCCAGATTATCTGCTTGGGGGACAGGCGATCGTTGGGACCTTTCACTTCCACCAGCTAAAAAGAAAGGTGAATGATTAGTAGCGGGCCAGGGAGGGACTGAAAGACCATTAGCTCCCACAGTAAGTATTCTTTTATGGCTGTTGTTTGCAACAAAAATAATACAGATTTAGCACAACGGAAGACCCAGCAGGTACTAAACTATTAACCCATGTTCCAAAGTTTAAGAGAAGGAAATGTTAATGTAGTAAATAGCCACCAAAACACAAAGGCATTGGTGAATGAAGATACAGATACTCAAAAACTTCATCTGCAACCTCAACTGTTCAGTTGATGCTGACAGCAACTTACTCATATGTTCTAGAGAACTAATTTCTGCTAGTCAGTTTTGTTTTATAAATGCCTAACAAGTTGCTCCAGCAGCTGAGCGATGTCCAATAGTCTTCTAGTACCACCACCATGTTTACTCAATTTTTGTAGCAGAGAGACAGACACAATTGTTGTTGTCTCATATATTCAAGTTTTTGTGTGTGGTGACATTAGCACCCCTTGCTAACAGCAGTCACTATGTGTATGACTGATTAGTAACAGATGCTTTACAGGAAATTTAATAGTGAAGACTTTTTCCACAGCAATACCTAGCCCCCTCTTGCTGTTTCTCATTATGCCTGTTAAAGCTACAGCAAACTGTGAGGAAATAGCAGAGAACCAATCACCCACCACTTGCCATTGCTGGGCATGAGCAGCAGGTGTAATTCCACCACAACAGGAAAAGACAGTTTGTATGGGCTGACAACTGCAAGGTTTTGCTCCTAAGATCAGCTGAGCACTATTTCCATGCTCTCCCAATATACCTTGAAGTGATTCGTGTGAGTACACCACACAACCAGGTCAGGCAGTCCCCCTCTGCAATGGCGTAGGTCTTTGGAAAGCCGCTTAAAAATACCACTCAGAAACGTTCCTCCAAGGCAAGAGACAAGGCTCTGTAAGAAACGTTTTGGTAGTTGGCTTTTTTTTGTTTGTTTGGTTTTATTTTTTTTTGTTATTTCCTGTACAGCCATTTCCCAATTCTCACAAGCATATTCTATGGCCCATCTGAGCTGCTTCTTTAGTCAAGTGTAACAAGAAACTTAAGCAGAGGTTAGCTACAACCATTTCCCTGCTGTTTCCCAACTACTGTGGCAGGAAAAGTGACCCTATCAGTGAAGAGCAACAGTACTTGGGATTAGGGAGAATTGCGCTGAAGTCCCCACTCAATCCCTCCCTCCCACGACTCGCCATCAGTTTTGGCTCAGTGCAAACTGTGAGCACACTATGGCTGTGGGTGATTTAACGGAAAACCTCATCAAACAGAGTGCCCGTTCTGGACAACAGCAACTTGCCTGAACTTGCTGGAGGGAAATAAAACGCCCCCAGCTGACGAGTGCAGCTGCTTTTCCCTCCTGAGTGGTCCAGACGTCAGCAATCAACTTTGCCAGTGTCTCGGAGGAAGCTGTATGAAGCTCCTGGAGTCTGGCCTCAATGACATCCCTCCTGTTCTCATAGAAGCTGTCAGTGTATAAATCCAGGGGGAATGTCTGTATAAAAAGGCAAATACAGCTCTGAGCAGCTGTCAGCAAAACAGTGATTCCAAGAATGACAATGTGCTAAATATGTTTCTTAACTACAAATTCACTCAAACACTGAGTCCCTGCAACTTGAACACGTCCACCACGTAAACCTTTATTACATCATGGGAAAAGATATGCATATATTTTAACACCCAATGCCAGTGCAACAAATGCTGGCCACATCTTAGCCTGTGCTCTGGTGGTTTTTCACCTCTAGGCAGAGGTTTCCTTTAACACACAATAAACTCCCCTGACTTGCTCTCTGAGCTCCTACTGCTCTCCTAACCCTCTGAGCAGTAACATTCTAGTCATTATTTGGCATCAGTATCAACACTGCTCAGCTACAGTAAGCTGTCTGAGGTGGGAAGAACAAAGCAGTCATCAAACGGGTGTATTACTCAAGCTGCCTAAAAGCAGAGCGCCTTAAGCAGAGCACTGAACAAATTATTGTATAAATTCACCACAGCAATTATTCAATTTTGAACACAGCTGAAAAAAGCTATCAAGTAGTAGCTGAGTGCCATTTCAGCTTGTCAAAATCAAATGCAGAGCACTTAGAAAATGGCAAATTTCAGCGTTACACAAACTGCTGCCACAGCTAATCCCACAAAAAAAAAAAACAACCCACAACAAAAACCACCTAGGGATGACTGAAAGAATGAGAAGACAATTGTCTGGCCTTTTTCAGTTCTACATCATCTGAGATGGCTTTT